CGATAGACAGTATTCAGAAAGAGAGAGAGAGAAGAGGGGAGGAGTTGATCTTGCGAGAACTTCCGGGCGGGTGAGAATAGCCACTTTCCAAAACAAAGTTAAAAAAGAATGTTAAGACACAAAAGTAAATTAATTTGGTCTACAAAGATGCTACGGCTATTTCACTTTTCGAATCAAGCCGAACTACGTGGGCGCCACTTTGTTTGCCCGGAAGTTCTCGCGCTACTCCTCTCTCTCCCTTTCTCTCTCTCTCCACTGCCCACAGACAAAATTGTACGCTTTTAGGCTAACAGTAGTAATGGAACGTTTGTTCACGGCACAGAATTCTACAATTTTTCTGTTATATCACAGTGTAGAATTTTGTGGTTCAGGGTGAACGCGAAATTGGTTGGCCTAGATAAAGGCAAAACGGAGAACGCACACCGGGTGAGAGTAGCCAAAGCCAAAAGACTCTCCTGCGCTATTCTCCCCCGGGGTGAGAATAGAGGTGGCCTTTGAGTATATTAGGTCAAGATCTCGGCGCTTTTTCTGTAGTTCCCACCCCACAAATAGTTATTCGCCGGATTTGGCCCCTCTGACCCAATAAAAGTATGACTAGGGGGCTCCCCTGACCCTATAAAATTATGGATGGGGGGGGGTTCAGAATTTTACCGTAATTTGATGTTTTGTAGTTGTTAGGTTTGATCTTAGCTCACTGCGCATCAAACGTATAGATCAAGATCTAGGCCTAGATCTAGATCTCGATGTAGATCTAGGCTCAAATAAAAAGGGGGGTGGGAATTACAGAAAAAGCACCAAGATCTCTACTACTTGACTTGTGTTGAATTACCCTGTTCACTTACTTTAGTAGGACTTAAATCTAGTCTAGATCTAGAGTCTAGTTCTACTTTCACTTTCGTCTGCTGTAACTACGACTTCTACAAAAGGATAAAATGATATCACTCTGTTTAATCTTCTCAGATCTTGCATTATAAGGGTCTAAAAGTTGGATGGTTTCCGTTCTCGAGATTTATTGATAATAAGCGAAGGAGTGGCCCGTGTGTGTGTGTGTGTGTGAACGGGTGGGGGGGGGGGGGGGGTGAAGGGATTTTTTTTACATGATGAAGGATTTTAGTTTTTTGCTGGGTGACTAAATGTTATAGGTTACTGCCAAGGTCGAGCGGTCTTATTTTCTCGCAGTACCTTTTGAAGGCATTTTCAAATGAAGTATAGTCCGGGAACGATGCCCCGACCACAATTGAAGTATCTGAATATTCAGACATTTAGAATTTTCTAACTTTAGAAATTGAATTTGATGCAAAAAATGCTTCTTCCCTGTCCTCGCAGAATGACAGAATGAAAAGATGACGCCTAAATCTCGAGATCGGAATCCGTTCAGAGAAATAGAGTTCAGCTTTATTTTCTCGAACGTTCGGAGAAATAGTCACTTCGTTCATAAAAAGGTTACTGCAAACTAAGGTTCCTACTTGTTTTCTTTGATGTAAGACTTTGATGCGGGTCAAATAAAAGGGGATTTTCAGCATATAGTCTACAGCTAAAATTAAAACATGATTTGTGATATAAACGTTGACATATGTTCCTCAACACCACAATCTAAAGGATGCCTAAGAAACTCGATTTAAGAGACGGGGTGAGTAGTTCTTGAGACTCACGTGGAAATGTCTTAGACGTCTAGACAGTGAATGGATGAAATCAAGCTTACAGTGAAATAAGGGGGCTGGATGGTGTCGCTGTCTCAAAATGAGCAATTTGTTGGCAAGGTTTCTGTAAGTAATTTATTGTTGGGCTAAAGAGTGCCGGCCAGCAAGGGAATTAAGATTCCTTTTTATATCAAATTGACTCAATGTAAAATGTTTCAGTTTCTGAATCAATAAATGATAGAGGTGTAAAATTGTATCTCACCTGTCCTATGACTTGCGGGGGAATAAAAAGTTTGACAAATGAAAGCTGACAGTTTTCTGCTGTCCATTCAAACACAAGCCAAGACTGCTTTAACATGAGCAGCAAGCATGGTATCTGGGAAGTACTGTGGCCTTCTCTCGTCCCCCTTCAACTCGCCTACTTATATTATTAGTAGTCTGACGTGTGTCTGCAATTTGTATGATGAGCATATTTAGCGGATTTCCGCAACCGCCGTTTTTTCTGCTAAATTCTGCTGCTGTAAGGGGCACCTCCCAGTAATGCGCCACCACTTTCTGTACATAATCAAGATGGTAAATATTTGGTAAGTGACTCTTTTACTTGAAATTATCTTCCAAACCCTCAAATTGGTATGAAATCACCTTGCTTTGATAAATTGATGGTATTTTTTTCAGCATTCTAGGGTTAAATAATATAATGATAATGGGTGTCTTGCGAAAATGGTCTTCTGTCATGATCACGCGGAAAGTTCCTCCTTTGAAAATTTTTTTTGAGTTGAGACTTATGGATGAGGAGCTTTTTAATTTTAATCCCTTTTTTTTTTTTTCGGTGTTGTCATGATTTGTGTGTTGTCGTGGCAGGAGTCCAAGCGACATCTGAGTTCTCTGAACCAGCTGGGTATTGGTTCTCTCGTGCGGGAAATTGCTGAAGGCGTTGATGTCAGCTCTGCTCCTGGGGACACTTTTGAAGGTAAAACTATGCCTCATGTGTGTTATCCCCTTACAATGTTTGAAGGTATAGCCATAGCTGTACATGTATAGATTATACCCATATCCTTACTATATTTGAAGGTTATAATTGTTCAGATGTATTATCCGTACAATGTTTCCTATTTTATTGGATTTCTATTTGTAAAGTAAAGTAAAGTCGTTCCCGCATCCGATCCGGACTTTGGGGATTGCCTTGTTAGTGAGACAACTTCCTGGGCCTTTCGCATAATATTGTGGTAGGGTGGCCAGTTCCTTTCCACACCGCCTTTACTTCCCAAACTCGAAGTTAGGTACCCATTACTGCTGGGTGGGCAGGAGGGGGACCCATCAGTATTGCACAGTGTGCTTAACATGGTGTCTTTTGATTTCTGAACGTTTTTCTTTTCTGCTTTTTCATAAACTTAGAAAAAGTAAACCTGTATTTATGACTCATTGTTAAGCATCCAGTATGAGGCAATATTTGTCGTAAGCATTTATTTAAAATGATGATAATTTTTTCATATTTCATGACTTACTTTGCATCTCATCGTTCTATGTTCCCCCCCCCCAGACTGTAATGTCAAGTCACCAACTGCTGTGGATTTCTCTGACATAGTGGAGACAGCGGAGGAGGAGGAGAGCTCAGAGGATAAAAAAGACGGAGGTTTGCTCGCAGTACAGCTGCTTCCTTCGTCTGTTTCACAGAATCATTGCCTTTTCGTTTTGCTGTTCACAGAATCATTGCCTTTTCATTTTGCTGTCTCGTGAACATTGCCTTGAAATTTTGTTGTCACATAAAAATTGCCTCGTCATTTTGCTGTCTACCCCCCGGGGCAGTGCCACTGACTGTAGTGTCTTTAGGCCATTCCCAAAGGGGGGACCTTTCTCGTTCAAGCATAGTAGAATTGTAAATGGGCTGACTCATGTCACGCTCATAACTGTGCCTGATCTACAACTGGGAACTGCTGCTTTTTCTTTCGTGATCCTTACTATTGTCATTTTCCTCTACTTCTTTTGTATGTTTGTCACTCTCTTGTGACCTGCTATTTCCGGGGTGCCTTGATAGTCGAAGCAGACCTTGTGCTGTTGAAGCTAGAGAGGTAAGCAGAATAAGTCTGATTCCCTGTAAAGAATTCTCTGTTGACACCCACCCCTTGGCGCTCATATGACCGTATGCAGTTGCGAGCGCCGTAAATCCCTCCACTATAAAAAATTGTAAAAAAATTTTGCTGTCACATAATCATTGCTTAGTCAATTTGCTGTCACATTATTCCAGCACCTCTAATCTTTCATCATCATAATTTGTAAGACTGACCGTCACAAGAACTCCCATTCTTCCTCTATTGTTGCCCTGTGTGGTTTCCGCATTGTCTCATTGTTCATTACTGACCTTGCAATCGAGAAGAAAAAGAAGGAGAAAACTATTGACACCCTTTTAAGATGACCACTTGCTTTGGATGACTAGTTGTGCCTCACAGTAAGTCTGCTGCTTTTTCTTTCCTCCTCCTTACTATCATCATTTTTCCTCTACTTCTTTTGTATGTTTGTCACTCTCTTGTGAACTGCTATTTCCGGGGTGCCTTGATAGTCGAAGCAGACTTTGTGCTGATGAGGCTAGAGAGGTGAGCAGAGTAATCCTGAATTCCCCATTTCTATTTCTCTGTTGACATCCACCCCTTGGCACTCATATGACCGTATGCAGTTTTGAGCGCCGTGAAACCTTACTAAAACAATTGTTTACTATTAACCTTGCAATGGAGAGGAAGAAGACTATTGACACACCTTTTTAAGATGGCCACTTACTTTGAATCACAAGTTGTGCCTCCCCGTACGTCTCCATCTGTTGACAGATTCGGCAGACAGCGATGACAACCAGGAAGAGGACGACAGGAAACTGATGCCTCCCCCGTCCTGGCTTCCCAGCAGCTCCATCAGTGTCCTCACCTCAGAAGGCGGCTCAGGCCCAGGTGAGTACATACATTCATTCAGACTGACAAATAAACACACTTATAAACACACAGACACACACTTCACGTAAACCTCTCTAGTTTTATGTTTAGGAACATATTTTGCTCTCGTTGCAACTTCTGTCCTTTTCTCAGACTAGTTGAGTAAAAACTGCTCCGTGCATGAGACTGCGTTATGTTGGGAGCCCATTGGCACGGTCAGGTGGGGTCTGGTCGGTTTGCTAGCCAGATTGAGGGCGCAAAGTGGCTACCGTGGCACAATCCGATCACCCGACTGGCCACATAAAAAACATTCGCATTTGTTTTCAGGCGACGAGTCGGGCGATCGACTCGACTCAATTCCACGCACAATGGGCACCGGGGGTTAGATGTTGTGTGTAGCAATGTGGGCCTTGTTGTGTAGTATGCAGCAAAACTACTCTGTACTGAGAGAGCTGTGCATGGGCCTGTGGTAGATCTTGTGGGTAGAATGTGGGCTGTGACGTTTGTCGCAATGTGGGACTTGATGTGACATGTTTAGCAAAGTGACTCTTTACAGAGAGAGCTATGCATGATCCTGTGGTAGATGTTGTGGGTAGAGTGTGGGCCATGATGTGGTGATGTGTGTAGCAATGTGGGCCTTGATGTGATGTGTGTAGCAAAACTACTCCACACAGGGAGAGCTGTGCATGGGCCTGTGGTAGATGTTGTGGGTAGAATGTGGGCTGTGACGTGTGTAGCAATCTGGGCCATGATGTGGTGAAGTGTCATGTGTGTAGCAAAACTACGCCATACAGAGAGAGCTGTGCATGAGCCTGTGGTAGCTGTGTGTAGCAATGTGGGTCGGGATGTGGGAATGTGTGCAGCAAAACTATGCCGTACAGGAAGAGCTATGCATGGGCCTGTGTTAGATGTTGTGGGTAGATGGTGGCTGTGTGACATGTGTGACTGTCTTTGGTGAGCGTTGTGTTTAGGAAAGAGGAATAGGCAGATGTAAAATATGAACATACTGATCAAGTTGTTTAGCAGGTTTTGGGCGGAGCAAGTGGTCTGTTGTTTAATGTAAGTTTGGTTATGTACATACTCGCACCTTTTTGTTTTCACTGGTTTCATTTAAGTTTGAACATTTTTATCAAATTTGGTTTTCTTTTTGTTGCTTGAAGTAATAATGCCTGTGCAAGGACTATAGATTTATAAGCCCCTCCCCCCCAGGGCAGTGCTACTGACTGAAATTGTCTTTAGGCCTTTCCCAAAGGGGGGATATTAACATGTTCATATGAACAGTAGAATTGTAAATGGGCTGATTTATCTATGTCACGCTCTTACTGTGCCGGAACAACGTAGGGGTAACTGCTGCTTTTTCTTTCCTAATCCTAATCTTTCCGGGGTGACTTGATAGTCGAAGCAGACTTTGTGCTGTTGAGGCTAGAGAGGTGAGCAGAGTAAGCATGATTCCCCGTTTGGACTTCTGTTGACCTCCACCACCCCTTGGTGCTCATATGACCTTATACAGGTGGGAGCGCTGTAAAACCTTACAAAAACAAACAAAGAGACTAAAATTATCACTATGCAGTACAAATTTAAGTTGCTTCATTAGAGTTGCACCAACCCATGAGTGGATGGTTGGCGGGTGCTCTGGTGTGGTTTGCTTCTTCTTTCCTATCAAACATCTATCATCCTTATCTCCCCTTCTTCTTTTTTGTTTGTTTGTTACTCACTTGTAATACCTCTAATCTTCTGGCACTCATATGACCTTATGCAGTTTTGAGCGCCATAAAAACCTCTACTAAAACTAAAACTAAACCAACCCATGAAACTGACTCGAACTAATTCATGTTGTCCTCGTCACGGATTTTAATTTTCAGCAGGTGGCTCTATTGTTTCCGTCGCGAAAATGTCTCAGGGTAAGCTTCCTCAAGTTTCTGCCCCTGATCAACTTGTGTGACTCTCTCTCTCTTGTTATACGATGGTGTTGAGGCCTGTGTCTTCTGCTCTCTGCTGTATTCATGAGAACAGCATTTATCTCATGAATATGACTAGTATTTATATATAGGCCTATATATATAATATAATATAATAGATAATATATCAAACTCCTTTTTGCCATGAGCTGATGGGACCATCTAAAACATATAACAAATGTGTGGTAATTGGATATATAATCACACACACACACATATTTATATATATATATATCAAAAACTGCTTTTGGCCATGAGCTGATGGGAGTATCTAAAACCTATATATATAACAAACGTGTACGTGTATCACTGTTTGTAACATCTGGCTGAAGGGTGGACACCCAAATATTGTGGGATTTATAACAATATTAAATTTCATAGCCTATTGTTTTCTCCTGTTTTCTCGTATTTATGAACAACAACTCTCTTGGCATTGGGCCGAATGGCAGAAGCCCGTACACTGTTGGTTTGATAACAATAATGTTGACGAGTTTCTGTTCTCTCTAGCTGTGCTAAGGGACTTGCATACACTTACACCTGTTGCGAGCTGTTCTGGATTACAGTGTTGAAGTTCTCGTTTCATTGATTGTATCTGGCTTTGCTTCTTGGTTTCGCCAAAGATAGTAAATAACAAGATGGGCCACTCAGCCAAAAAAGTGTCCGCAGGAAGTTCGCTCTTTGCTTCAGATGGCGCTGCAGTCTGTTTTGAAGCTCTCTTTCGTTTTTCCAGAAGAATAGGAATAGCACCTCCTTGCGTGCGCAGATCGACTGCTGTTCATCAGCAGTACGGGTACGTTCAGTGCGTAGTTTTAGGTTTTTAAAAATTTTAATGACCTCTCGCCTTTCATTCTAAAGTCAAATAAAACGAAGAAAACCATCACCCTTTCCTCCGGAAGAGGTTTTTTGTCAGCGTAACCATTTTAAAAAAGTGTTCTTCCGAAATTTATCCCAAAACATGCTAGTTTCACTTTGATTTTTTAAAACTCAAGTAGGGTAACTCTGTTCGCAAAGAGTGCGCTTTTGTGAAGAGGGCGCCACCAAATTTTGAGGACACTTTTTTAATTGGCTCAAAGAGAGAAGTGGCCCATCTTGTTATGTACTATCATTGGTTTCGCTGATAAAAACATCCTGTTAAGGATGCCAGCATTATCTTGCTTATTAGTTTATATATATATTTTTTTTTCCTTTTGGTTTATTTCTTTAATTGTATTTGGTAATGTAGTAAGAAAAAAAAAGAAAGAATGATTTCTCTATGTAAAAACTTTCCTAAGACTGAGGGTTGGGGGGGGGGGGGGGTGGGGGAGGAGGGGAGAGAAATTGCTTATAATATATTTTTTATTTAAAATGTTTCCCAGAACTGGGGATGGGTGGTGGATGGGTCAGACCGGAATTTTTTCTTTATGTAAGACGGGAATTGCCTTCACTCCCAATATTAATTAAAGTGTGGCCGTGCCATCTCTCTCTCTCTTTATTATTTTCCTTATCATCCTTCTATCGTTATGCAGATCTGTCAAAATACCCCTAGCCTCCCTCCCTCCCTCCCCTTCCATACCCCCTCTCCCCCCCCCCCCCCCCCCCCAATAAACAGTGCAGTGTGAGGCCTTACTTCAAAATGACTTCTTGTGTTTAGTTTGTTCAGTCAGGCACAGAAACGTGAACACGGAGACGACACGGAGACGACCTGAAATCAGACATAGCTTTTTCAACAATTTGCCTCTCTTCGGCTGATATCTCTTCAATTTTTTCGTATCGGTGAACGACACGCAGTTTGGATTTGTTCAGCGTGTTTGTCAGTCCTCGACGTGTTTGCGGTCTCCGTGCCTGACTGTTTTTTATGCTCACGATGTTTTTGTTTTGTGGGCAGAATTATTCATTTGTGGTTCTGTTCTTGAAAAGTTTCCCATGCTCTTTACTTTGTGTTGTTTGTTTTCTCATTTCAACAACCTGACTTTGCCTAATTTGCTTAATTGATGAATGTACGAAGTCATGCACTTGAAGTAGTACCAGTCATGCGCTTGAAGTAGTGCCGTAGTCATTGAATAGAAAGTAAGGAAGAAAAAGCTCAATTAATTTATACTTTGTTCTTCTTTGTTGAGGTTTATTTTCTTAGACATTCTGTGGGAGGAACCAGGAAGGCGATGTATGTGTTCATAATTATATGTGATGAGCTAATGTGTGTATTTGTGATACACAATGTGTGTGTTTGTGATCATATGTAATGAGCTAATGTGTGTATTTGTGATTATATGTTATATGTGATGAGCTAATGTGTGTGTTTGTGATTATATGTTATATGTGATAAACCATGTGTGTGTTTGTAATTATATGTGATGAGCTAATGTGTGTATTTGTGATTATATGTTATATGTGATAAACCATGTGTGTGTTTGTGATTATATGTGTTGAGCTAATGTGTGTATTTGTGATTATGTGAGATAAAGTTTACGACCAATGTGTGTGTTTGTGATTATATGTGATAAACAATGTGTGTGTTTGTGATTATATGTGATAAACAATGTGTGTGTTTGTGATTATATGTGATAAACAATGTGTGTGATTGTGATTATATGTGATGAGCTAATGTGTGTATTTGTGATTATATGTGATAAACAATGTGTGTGTTTGTGATAAGCAATCATTCAATGTGTTTTTGTGATTATATGTATTGAGCAGTGTGTATATTTGTGATAAACAATGTTTGTGTTTACGATAAGCGTGTCCTTTAGCCCTGGCGTTCCCTGCTATAATAATGCTTGATACCTTCCCGCTTCCCGCTTTCTGCTCTCTGGTTTGCTACAGCCTCGGTTTCATTAACTCTGATGCCACTATGGAAACTTTGATAATGTTTTCAGTGGAAAGGAGACTTTTTCTTGCTGTTTTTTCTACCGTTTTGATCATTTTTGTTTTTTTTGCATTACTTGCTTGCTTTTGTACAAGTGAAGAAAATGAGTGGGTGGTTGGCGGGTGCTCTGGTATGGTTTGCCCCTTCTTTCCTATCAAACATCTCTCGTCTTTATCTTCCCTCCTTCTTTTTTTGTGTTTGTTACTCTCTTGTAACCCATCTATTCTTCGGCACTTATTGTGTTGCTAGTGCCGTAAAACACTTACAACTTTACTTTTTACTTTACTTTTCCGATCCAGCGACCTTCTGGGTTCTAGCCCTTCGGTCTGTCGATATGGCAAAGAATTAAAACACTTACAAAAAACTAAAAGAAAAAAAAAATTGATGGAAGGTTGTTGCCTGTATGCAGGGGTCAGTGTCAAAGTGTCAGTTCTTGTCTGCTGTATGCTGAGCAAATAGAACTGTCGATAATGGGGGTGGGTGGAGGCTGTCGCTGGCAGGTCACACTGCTTTCCCCTCTCCCTCTGTTGTTTCTGTCTGTGTGGATGGTTGGAGGGTGTCACTGGTAGGTCCTACTTCTTTTCTCTCCCTCTGTTGTTTCTGTCTGTGTGGATGGTTGGAGGGTGTCACTGGTAGGTCCGTCTCTTTTCTCTCCCTCTGCTGTTTCTGTATGTGTGGATGGTTGGAGGGTGTCATTGGTAGGTCCTACTTCTTTTCTCTCCCGCTGATGTTTCTGTCTGATCATGTTACTTTTATCCAGCGCTAAATGACAGCTATTTTGTTGATGTCATTACTCATTACTCAAGCGAACGAACTCTGAATAATGTCTCTTATTTCCCGTTCACTTCTCCCCCCCCCCCCCCCACACACACACCCACACCCACGCTCACACACACCCACACACACACACACAGATGAACAGATATCCCCATCATCCCTGAGCCCGGGCAGAAAGCTGAACACCCCTCTGGCAGACATGATGCCCCCGGAGCTGGCTAACGTAGATGTGACCTCCATCTTCCCCGAATTCCGACATGGGCAGGTGAGTGGTCAGATGGTCGGAGTGTGTGACAGATGAGTGGTCAGTGTGTGTGACAGATGAGTGGTCAGTGTGTGGGTGTGACAGATGAGTGGTCAGTGTGTGGGTGCGACATGTAGGTGAGTGGTCAAGTCATGAGAGAGTGTGATGGGTAGGTGAAATAGCACTTTTGGTACTGTTACTCGCCAGCCGTAGTATGTATGCCCTCATTACGGTTAAGTGACTTTTATGGCCAACTCGACCAGGCTCACTAAACATATTTATACAATGGAGCCTCTAGGCTGAAGTAAATACCAAAGGCCAAAGGAAGTCAGTCTATGTGATAGCTGAATGGTTGATGGAAACACTGTGAATTTTTAAAGAGCGTTTCTTTGGCTGTGAAAGTTTTTAAAAAACTTTAAAAAGTCTACGATGGCTTTAGCGTTCTAAACTGGTGCAGTACTGTTTTTTGTTTTTTTCACTAGCTGAGTCTTCGGTACTGTAAGTCAAATTAAACAGATGATTAGAGTGTGTGATGTGTAGGTGAATTTGACATATGAGTAGAGTGTGATGTGATGGGCAATTTCGACTGTACTTTCAATTGAAAAATGGAGACTTGTATTTTTATTTTGTCTATTTTAGGTGTTGAGATTTTCCCGACTGTTCAAGCCAGCTCACGTGCCGCATATCTGGAGAAAGAAACGGAAAAAGAAAGAGGAAGACGAAGAGAAGAAGTCAAAAGAAGGGGATAAGCAAGGTGAAGGAAAAAAGAAGGAAGAGCCAGAGAAGAAAGATGGCAAGTTGAAGGAGGAATCTGAGGGAGGCGAGGAGGATGGAAAGAAGGCTGCAGGGGAGGAGGCAGATGTGGAGGAGGAAGAGGAAGACGAGGAAGTGAAGCTGGTGTTGAACCTGGGAAGAGGGCCCAAGCCTGAGGAGTTGGCCGACGATGATGAGGTAGGTATCTGTACAGGTATTTGTGTTTAGCCGACGATGATGAAGTAGGAATCTGTATAGGTATTTGTGTTTAGCTGATGATGATGAGATAGGTATCTGTATAGCTATTTGTATTTGGCAGAAGATGATGAGGTAGGAATTTGTATTTGTATTTGTATTTAGCAGAAGATGATGATGAGATAGGAACTGATTTGTCAGTTGTCTTAGTAGATAATGAGGTAGGTATTTGTATTTGGTAGAAAATAGTGAGCTCGGTATTTGTATTTGGTAGAAATTGGTGAGCTTGGGATTTGTATTTGGTAGAAAATGGTGAGCTCGGTATTTGTATTTGGTAGAAAATGGTGAGCTCGGTATTTGTGTTTGGTAGATGATTGCCTCCTTTCTTAATTCCGTTCTTTGCCTTTACAGTGTGCTGTCACTTTCCACATGTCAGTTTATTTACTGTGATTTTGACAATTTCCCCCTACCCCCCCCTCCTCAAGGATTTGCTGAAGCGACCCATGGACTACTCCTCGTCCCGCGGGAATCAGTCCAACACGGCAGAGGCGGAGTCAGAGACAGACGTGGCCCCGTGGCGCTACGGCCCCGCCCAGTACTGGTACGACCATTTGGGCGTGGATGAGACGGGGCAGGGGTTCCAGTACGACTTCAAGCTCAAACCTGTAAGTCACTCACAGGGCAGGCCGAACTTCGTTTAAATCAGTTTTTGCATTGTCTGTCATCATATACGCCTTTATCAGTGGGTTCTTTGATTATTTTTACTTCTTTTTCTTCTTTTATGTGAACAAAACAGCATATTTGCTACCTCAGAATTACAAAGTTCTATCTGCTCACGACCTAGTTTTGAGAAATTTGGTGCCAAGATGTTTGAGTTTTACAATATGTCAAGCTTTTTCTAATCCTATTCTTTGAGTATCTTGACAACGACTCCGAATATTCTTACAACTTTTTTTAGAGCTGATAGAGCATTTTCTTTCTGATCTCATGGTCTCAGTAACTCTAAACGGCAAAAATTGTCAGATACAACTTTGTAATTATGAGGTAGGGTATTGTCCACAAGCTGTTCCAATGTACCTAGCCCAGACAGCAAACTTTTCAGGAGAGAGAAAAAACTGTTTCATTATGTCATCAATTGTTCTTCTTTTGTGCATTTACAGCGAATTATAGGTGATTTCCAGGTTGAGAACCATAGATATGGGGTACATAGAAGCAGAACCAATAAATTGGCAAAAAGATATTATTAATCCGAATACAGGAAAAAGAGGCTAAAACAGCACCTGGACATGGATGGCTGGTGCCTCTATAAATAAATCATTGATGGTCAGGGTCAGCCAACACACACATAGCCAGCACGCACACCAACACACATATAGCCAACACGCACGTAGCCTATGGATTTTCAGGTCCTGAAATTTTTCTTATCCATGCCTATCCTGTGTATTAAAAACAGGTAGATCTATATAGCGAAATTTGTACATAATGAAGATATTTGTGTGATCCGATGATTTTTCTTTGTGTATACTAAACTGCACATATTTGTAACTCAGTGATAGTGTCTCTGTATATATTTGTAACACAACGATCATGTCTCTGGTTGTTTTTTTTTTCAAAGGATGAGGTCAAGGAACGAGAGGCGGAGGAGTCTGCCAGGCTGGACAAAGACCTGGACTACGACCGCTACCTGATGGTCACTCAGCAGCGCTGGGAGGACAAGATCATCTGGGATGGGGAGGAGGCCAAACACAAAGTCCTCACCGAGCACAAGAAGAACGCAGAGTTTGCTGGATGGGTGCCCAGCACCAACAACAGAACCTTTGCTCAGTGTAAGGCTCTCAGACTTTGCTAAGACTTTGCTCAGTGTAAGGCTCTCAGACTTTGCTAAAACTTTGCTCGGCGTAAGGCTCTCAGACTTTGCTAAAACTTTGCTCGGCGTAAGGCTCTCAGACTTTGCTAAAACTTTGCTCAGTGTAAGGCTCTGATACTTTGCTAAAACTTTGCTCAGTGTAAGGCTCTCAGACTTTGCTAAAACTTTGCTCGGTGTAAGGCTCTCATACTTTGCTAAAACTTTGCTCAGTGTAAGGCTCTGATACTTTGCTAAAACTTTGCTCAGTGTAAGGCTCTCAGACTTTGCTAAAACTTTGCTCGGCGTAAGGCTCTCAGACTTTGCTAAAACTTTGCTCAGTGTAAGAGTCTCATACTTTGCTAAAACTTTGCTCAGTGTAAGAGTTAAACTTTGGTCATTGTAAGAGTCTCAAACTTCTCTCAGTGTAAGACTCAAACTGTACCCAGTATAAAATTACTCAGTGTAAAAGCCAAACTTTGCTCCATGTAAAAATGGTCACTTTTAAGCGCAAGGGGGCTATCCCGCAAAGTGCTGTTTTGAGAATATCGAAGGTAAAGTTTTTGGACCCTTGTTCAGTTTCTTTAAAAGTTAAGGAGAATTTTCTCTATAACCAAACAAATATACACGCCAATGAAACCAAACTTCTCCTATAGGTAGGGCAATGCCCGCTTTTGGTGTAGGTCAAGATTTCTGGAAACTCCCGAAATCTGGGGCTAGCCCGCTTGTCCTTAAAAGCGACCCATTATTTAGTGTAAAAGTCAAACTGTACTAAGTATTAGACTCACAGCCTCACTGTAGCTCGTCCTCAGCTATAAGACTGTAATGGTTCTGTAACTTTCTTTGTTTGTATGCCTGAGCCATTTTTTCCAAAAGTCCCAACATTTTTAGGAAGACAACCTCTACAACTGAACCAATTACTCATCCATATGCTGTCTGTCTCTGTTTCCGATCATTAAGTTTTTCTTTCTTTTTGTCCAGCAAGCAATATTTGTATGACCCTGTCGTATTACTGCATTGTTTTGTTTTGTTTGATCTGTTCACAGCACGGTCCCAGTCTGGGCTTCTACAGCGGTCTAAGTCGATGCTGTCCAAACCAGGTCAGTGGTAGTGGCTCTTGGTGGGGGAACTGGGTCAGTTGTTCAGTAGGGGAGCTGGGTAGGTGGGTCAATTGGGGAACTGGTTCAGAGGTCAATGGGGGAACGGGGTAAGTGGGTCAATTGGGGAACTGGTCAGTTGTTCAGTAGGGGAGCTGGGTAAGTGGGTCAAGTGGGGAACTGGGTCAGTTGTTCAGTAGGGGAGCTGGGTAAGTGGGTCAAGTGGGGAACTGGGTCAGTTGTTCAGTAGGGGAGCTGGGTAAGTGGGTCAATTGGGGTACTGGTTCAGAGGTCAATGGGGTAAGTGGGTCTATAAGGGAAGTGGGTCAATGGGGGAACTGGGTCAGTAGGTCAATGGGGGAACTGGATGTTTTTAGGTCAATTCTTTTTTCTCACTCTATTGCTTTTGTCTGTCTTGCTTTTTCCCAGTACTAAATGACCGTTATTGCGTTGATGTATTTCTGAAACACTATATGACCGTTACTGCGTTAATGTATTTCTGAAACACTATATGACCGTTAGTGCGTTGATGTATTTCTGAAACACTATATGACCGTTAGTGCGTTGTTGTATTTCTAAAACACTATATGACCGTTATTGCGTTGATGCATTTCTAAAACACT